TTAGTATTTGATGTGGCGAAAATCCTTGGGAACAAATTGCTGGAAGTCACCTGCGTAAGATTTGTGGTCCGATCGGCAATACCTATTGGAGCACAAACCCTACGCAGGTGAGTTACGGATATTAGCTCTGTCTCAGGATTTCCGCCGCATCACGAAATTCTTGACGCATGATATTTTGATCGTTACTGCGAGGAGATTTTTAAGCTCGTCCTCGTGCAAGGTTAACTCATTCAAAATCCAATTCAAAAGCAGTTTTAATGACATTAAAACTGCTTCAAATCCAATTCAAAATGAATTCAAAAATTCCGAAATTTCAACTTTGGGTGTCAGTGTGTCATACATTATTTGAGAAAAAAAGAGTCCTGTCCTTTCGTAGTTGCCACATCACGGCTCTGGAGCTGCGGACTTTCGTCTGTTTCAGAGCAGATCGCTGGCTGTGGGCGATGTTTTTTCCTGCTTGTTTCCTACCTGCACCCGCTAGAGCGGCGTGGTTGCAGGTGTCCGTAGCAAGCCTGCGAGTCATTTCTTGAACACAGCAGAAGACTGCGAACGCGCATACGGCCCAGCCGCAACCTCCGAAGCGTTGTGGCCGAGTTAAAAACCCTGGCGGCAAGGGTGGTGGCCTTGTTGCTGGAGAAACTGCTATTGATGACGCGAACGAAACGCGTGCTCCTCTTCCTGACGTTGGGACCGAGAACATGATGGTTGGGAATGACAAAACGCAAGAGCAGGTAAATGAGTTAGAGTCTTTTGATTCAAAAATGATGCATATAGATATACGACTAGACACAGGCGCAGGTAGAAATATTACTAGACCGAGATGCAGCGCTACAGCTGCATATTGATAGCCAGGCGCGGGCATTTATATTTTTTTTCGCTTCTAGTTGTATATCGCAGCTTCAATTTCTTTTCAATTTGTATTGCGATTGCTGCCATGCATCGCTTCACTTCACGTGCGCGCAGTCTGGTGATTCAGTCTCTTTGTTCTGTATGGCGCAAGCTTGACTTGATGTGTATGTGTGTGCCTCTGGTCGATTTCGGAATCGGACGTCCTCTCGAATACAAAAGCACTAATACAGGTACTCGCACCGAGAAAAGCAGGCCACGACCCATCGGTGTTGGAACGAACGCTAGGCGATGAAAGGCACCGGCCTGCCGCCAGCGGGCCGGTGCCTTTTCTCATCAGTTGGCCTCCGAGGCTGCTGGCGAATTTAGGCTGGCCTCCCTTCCTGTTTCTGAAAAGTTGAGCGGTTGGCAGGAAGACGCAACTTCTGCAACATGCACAGATGGAAAGATGGGGACTTCGGGCGAGCTCTTCACCCATCGCGAATTGCGCCTGGCTACTCGCCTTGAGCAACCTACTTTGACGCGTCAACCTCTTCATTTTTTCGGTGAAGCAGAGCGCGCCAGTTTGGATGGTTGAAGTGCATCCTCCAGCAGCGATAGCTCGAGCGATTGTAGCTAGGAAGTGGTCGCGTGTCTCATTGCTTTCCAAATGGTTCATCGGCACACAAAAACGACCAACACCCACCCACCCCAATGCAAAGTCTGAAACTTTTGAAATTGGTTTGAATTGCGTCAAGAACGAAATTAGCGCCCGTTTGCTTTTGAGTTAAGCGAGCAGATTTTTAACCTCGTCCTCGTTCAATGTTCTCGTTTCGACTCCTCTCATTTCGACCCCCGTGCAAGAGTCTCCTCTCATTTCGACTCCTCTGTTGAACAAATAGGGTTGTAGTCTCGCGAGTTTCCCTCGTGAGTGTGCAGGTATACTACATGACTGCGCAGGGACGGGACAAGCGGTAGACCGGTGATGGATGGGCAGCCGTGGGTGCTGCCGGGCTCGACGACCACCTGCTCAGCTCCGAGCGTTGCCGTGGTGCTGGACAGTAGTCGCCGCGGTTTTAGTTGCAGAAGCTGCTGTTGTAGCTGCAGGAAGAGCACCGCGCAAAGCTAGTAGTTAGAAGTAGAAGCAAAAGCACCAAAAGCAAACAACAAAAGTAGTCTCAGGCGTAAGCTCGCAGTGTTAGCAAGTAGATTTTTGTAGCGCCACCCGTTGCGTCGGGCGAGTAGTTAGCTTAATACACTGCGAAGAAGGAAAAGGGATGCTTTTCTCTATGCCAAAACGGCTTAAAATAGTCCATCCCTCACGCTGCCGTTGTGCCGGTGGTCGTGGCGTCGGGCGGAGGTTCGCGGGTGTGCCGGTCGTGCACTAGAAAAGTGTGTATAGTAGTGCCGTGGCCCTCCTTATATAGCGCCCGCTCGTGTAGTTAGCATTCCGCGTATCGCCCTCCCATAATTTAGGTCTTGTATGAAAGTAGCGACACCTGTGCGGATCAGGTGCAGTAGAGATGCTCGGCACGTAGCGCGACCGGGGGAGGTAGTTTGGTTAGTTTACTAGTAGGGTGAGAGGTGCAATGATTTATCGACTCTCTGTTTTTGTTCTTCGCCAAAAGCTAAGTTGTAAGAAACCTCACAGCGCGCAGTTCTGAAAAACAGAAAAGTTAAAGAAAAGAAGCTGTGGAAAAAGTTCCTTATGAACTTGGGCAAAAAAACGTAGCTTAAGCAGCAGGAGTTTGTATGCGCTGCACCCAGCCCCGCCGAGTTACATAATCGCCCCAGAGGGTTAAGGTGAAGGTTAGCTTGATCCACTAGTCGTAAGAAACTGATTCAAATAGGTAGCTTAATGGGCATGCGCTCCTGCCCGGTTTGGCGTCCACACTGGCATTTGGTAGTCGCGTGCCCGTGGTGCATAGCGTTGCGTCGTTCCCTGCCCCGGTCTAGTGAGCCACATGCGAAGAGGCCACCGCCAACCACCACCCGCCGAAGTGAATATATTGCAATTGTAATTGCGAGCAGATTTTTAAGCTCGTCCTCGTGCAAGGTTCTCGTCCTCTTGCAATTAAGCTCGTGCTATTGAAAACGGTTGGAAGCGGATTCACGTTATCAACCTGGGATCACGTTTATGGAATCAGGTTTAGGATAGGATCAGGTTAGTGATAGGATCAGGTTAGTAGAATCAAGTTAGTGCAATCAAGAAGAAGGAAGGAGCCAGGTGCTGTCGAAGCATCACCGACTGCCGCCGTCAGGTAAGTCTTTCCTTTGATTCTCCGTAGGTCTCATGTCCTGTGATGTTGGTTCCGTTTCTCCTTATTTCGGAGGTAAGGATAACGAAAGAAGAAAATTAGTCCGGGCCTTGTTCCCCGTTCTCGACCTGCGTCTTCGGCCAAAGGCATGGGCATCATCCGCGTTGCCGGTTTTCGGGACATGACCTGTGGAGCGGACCGGGTGGAGCGGCCAGGTATTTTCAAATAAAGCACATCACAGATTGATGACTATTCGCGGGGCGAGGAGGACCAGGAAGCGCGAGCCGATTCCGAAGATGAGGAGGTCCTCACGCTGACCTTTGAAGTTCCGCAAAGTTGGAGAGAGGTCGAAGAAGACACTGGGAAGAAGATCGGTCTACAGCGTTGCAAGGAGTCAATCAAGACGAAATGCCCTGCGGGGGAGTGGAAGATTACTGTGAGACAGTCGCGGCAGGTGGCGGTGGAGTGCCGGAATTGCAAAACGAGCGACGACGTGGCGAAAGTCTGCAACTTCTCGTGCACGGGCGTGATGCCACCGATGGCAGAGCACGAGGATGGAACGCAGTGCACCCTGACGGCCCGGCCGCGGAAAGCACGGAGCTGAGCCGGACAGCAAAGCGGCCATGCGAAATCTGGCGAACAAGCTGGCCAGCACAGTGCCTTTCTAGGAGATTTTTAAGCTCGTCCTCGTTCAATGTTCTCGCTCAGCAGGCAGAAGATGGAAAGAGGGCAGCGCCGTCTCTTTCTTGTCTCTATCTGGCTGTGTCTTTTCTCTCTCTCTCTTGGTTGTCTCTATCTGGCTCTCTCATCTCTTTCTCTCTCTACCCTCTCTTTCACCCTCTCGCACATCCAGAAACTTGCGACGGGCAGCAAGCAGAACTGGCTCATGGACTATCAGCAGGAGTCTAATTACGTGCAGCGCCCGGCAGGTTCCTCGCGCCTGGACATGATCACGGGCGAGCAGGGGTCGGGAATGTTAGGCTCGGAGAGCCAACAGCTTGGATTTCAAGCATAAATGACGCCCGTGAGTAGAACGCACAGAGATCGACGACTGTGGCCGTCAAGTATAAATGGCGCTCTACTTGGGACTACAGTGATGGAAGCTAGTAGAAAATAGACGGCGTTGCTCCTAGCCGTATCTGGAGCCAGTTTCGGTATATTGGAGTCTGGCAGCAAGAGTGCAGCTCGTAGATTCTGAGCATTTCTGTTTTGACGGTTAGGAACATGAAGCAAAGTATGCACTGAGAGGGGCAAAACTCCGCGGGCCCTGCGCTGGCTGTAGCCCTTAGAAGTATTGCAGAGGAACACGAAGCTGCAGGTGCTTAGTTTCGTAGGACGCTAGCTGCTGGTGGTGCTATGAAAAGCAAGAAACGATATCGAAGAAGTACAAGAACACGATGTTGAAGCTCGCACGTTCCGCAGCGACACGGAAGAAGAAGCGGGCGGGGAGCGGATGCGCAAGTGATGGCGTGTCGGCGGCGGATGGCGAAAAGTCTATACCTGCAAAACCGAACTACCAACTACGTCCTGCTGTTGAAAATGGAAATTACGTCGAACAAGCGCAAGTTGTTCGCCACTGCGCTTTACCTGTAACAGCTCTACTTTCTGCGTGTGCATTATTCTGTCCCGACCACCCCACCATCGAGATTCAAGCTCTTCTGGCAGCACTCGCGATAATGGTGGGAATCATCAGCGCGGTCCAGAGCAGTCACTATTACGGACTTGCTACCGATTCGAGGAAGCAAGGGATGATGGAGGAAGAAATGGAGGAAGAAAAGTGCTGCGCACTAGATGAAGAGGTTGATGATGATGATGATGTTGATGATGACTGCCGCTTAGCAGATGCAGAGGAGATTTTTAACCTCGTCCTCGTTCAATGTTCTCGTCGCATAAAAACTCACAAGTTGCTAGAAGTTCGTATACAAAGTTGTCGTCCGCAGCTCTGTCGTCCAGAAATTTTCAGTGCACGACTCGTCTTCAACTCCTCCCAACATTTCGGTCGCCTTTGCTGCGATGCCAGCGGCGATTGCAATCTGATTTCTTTTTCTTCGGTGGTTCGTATAAAAATATTAATTCAGCCTGTGTCTGTGTGAGTCTCAGTCTGAACAGTGACAGTGTGCGCACTTCTTCTGTTCGTCAGGAAGGTGTGTGATCGGTCCCGCTACATGATGAAATTCATGTCGCTTCGTCCTCGCCAATTCTATGTCTATCGTTCATATGTGGCGCTGGCGCAAAAGCTAGACTCCAGTTTTTATCAATATGCAGCTGAGTTATTTCCTTTCGGTATTCGTGGTCGTTCGAACTCTCTCCACTATGCGTCCAAGTCGGAGTATTAGAGCGTCTTTAACGTCGTTCAAAAGTTAAAGTGAAGTTGTACGTGTTGTTTTCAACAACTCTTCGTACTTTTGACATAAACCTTCATGCGCGCTGCTTTCGTGAACTCAAAAAAATCAGTTTTGAAATTTGCGAACCCCGCAATTTTCTACTACCACAACTCACAACTTATCACCTAGTAAACGTAAATCGAGTACGAGTGCTTTAACATTGCATTTGCAGTCCACCAAGAAAGAAAAAAACTTGTTTTGTCGAAGACAAAGGCAACCCAATTAAGACGCCAGAACTATATCAAAAAACTCAGAGCAATAAAAACAGGCGAAGTTGTGCGCTACCGCGGAAATAATTATAAACGAGGAACACGAGGAGGAGACAGTAATACGAGAAGTACTTGCCCGTGTATTTACAGCAGCAGCGTAAACGTTGGAAGGATCAACTGCTTGCCCACATCAAGTAGAAGTACATCCACGGTTTAACATCCACCAATCGAGAAGATCGGAAAATGGCGAAGGGATCCATGACAACTCCATCTGGCCTGGTCGCCGCGCGGCGTCGGCTGCTGCCCGCACTGGCGCTGCCGTATGCATTGCAAAAATGTCTGGGTCTGGAAGAGGGCAAGGTTATTTGTCATGCATCTCGCGGAGCCCCCAGCCCCACGCCACACGGTCATGGTCTGGAATGCACACAGAAGCATCAAAGGTTTTGCGCAACGTTCCGAATGCCTATTCTGCATGAGAAATCCGTCAAATGCATGGTCACTACTACTTTTCTACTAAGGTAGAAGTTAGCAGCTTTTGGGGTAGTTCACGCAGCACAGATATTTTTCTTTTTGTGGTCGCGACTTCGCATGACAAGTTGTAACCTTGAAGAGGACCCAGACATATTTGCACTTGATATGCCGCTGTGCTCCACGAACGCCGTGTCCGTGCTGGTTTTGGTGCAGAACCGCCAGAAGAAGACCGCCGCATCCTCCACCCCAGCGCTGAAGAAGATGAAGCGGGCCACTGGCTCCACCTCGGGCCAGTTGTCTCTGAACGTCCCGCACCAGGAGGGACCGCTGGTGCGCACCACGGAAGATGAAGACGCCTCCTCGGATTCGGCGGCCCCGGACGCCGAGGTGGTCGACGTCGACGCGGAAGAGCAGTCGACGTTTGCGCAAGTGCTCGCTTCCAAGAAACGGATGTTTCTCCATGATACGGAGCAGAACGAGACGACGACGGGAGATAACACCACCGACGGGGACAACACGACGATGGGTAACATCACCACCGGGAACACCACCGGCGTGAACACCACCGGGGGGAACACCAGCGATGTCACCCCGGAGCCGACCACCCCGGAGCCGGCCACCCCGGAGCCGCCCACGGCCGCGCCGATGTCCACCCCGGAGCCGCCCAAGACGGCTTCTGCCCACATTAAAGTGAACATTACGGTATACAGAAAAATAAGTTTGCCATGTAGTTCTCTACCTTTTTGTGTGGACGACGACGAGCACTTCTATCTTTGCTCGTCATGCTCTGCAGATGAGATCTCGTCGTCGTCCTCCGTTTTCGTCAGTAGTCTCTTGTTTTCGGTATTTATTTAGAGATGTAGGAGTGATATTCATTTTGGATCTCAGTAGAAAAATCATTTTTCTACCACATTTTTAATGTGGTAGTAGTTGCAAAAATATGCGTTTGGACTCCGCTTGATTTTTAACAAAATCAAAATGCAATTACTTTCTCTATAACGCAGACGGCTCCACCTCCTCCGGCACCGCGAACTCACATCGAAATTCCGTTGCTGCTATCCAACGAGAAAATATTAGCGAGACAAATGGCTGCAATAGCAACATGGTCGACCACCTGATATTTTTATGATGACTGTACACAGTAGAAGGCGTTGTAACGGCATCAGAACTACGTAGTAGTCCCAGCAAAGAACACATAAGTCGAATGATCATCCCCATTGTTTCCTTGACGCAGAGGGGGTCGTTCGTTCCTCCGTGTACTTACTATCGTCATGGTGGCGGATACGGATTGGACTACTTACAAGGCCGCAGCTTATGTCGCGTAGTGGGAGGGTGAACGAGTGGACAGGGGGGAAAGAAAAACGCCAGAGGGTGGGCAAGGGAAAAAATTTTTGATGCAGGGTGGGGCCAGGCATCTGCGCCGCTTCTTGCTGACAGAACGAAGGCGGAGCGCCATGGCGCCCGTGGTTCCAGTCTCTGCGCGAGCGTGAGGACCCCACCCGCATGGGGCGCGCATTTGCGTGGCGGCAAGCCTTAGGCCCAAGCAACAACGCAAAGCGCGGCAGCGGGCGGGCGCCAGTGGACGGGGGAAGGAAGCAGGGGAAAAGTCTGCGCCATGCGAGGCATTGGCGTGTGACGCCATGCCCGCGCGTTTGCGGCGTGGCCCGTTCGTGCCGCCTGCCTTTGTGCCCCGGTTGCCCCTGCGCGCCTTGGTGCCCCGCGCGCAACGAGCCTTGCCGAGCGGGGGCCCCTGCCGCGCGCGTGGATGGAGGCAGCACGGGCGCCGGGGCGGGGCATTCATTGCCCCCCAGGCGCAGGGGCCCACCACCCTCCCCCAGCACCCCCGGACAACAGCGGCGCCGCGCTAACTCGCATGCAGTAATCTGCTCCGCCCCCGCCTGCCTTCCTCGCGCGCACCGCCCAAGACAGAGGTGGCGGACGGTGGCGCCCTCTGCCGGTCTCCTCGTGATGTGAGCAGAGGGAGGGCGCCGGGGGAGGGTGGTGGGCAGCTGCCCGCCTGCAGACGTGGTGCCGGGGCGCGGCTTCCCTTCGCGAACAGAGGGAGGGCGCCGGGGGAGGGTGGTGGGCAGCTGCTCGCCTGGGGCTTGGCCGCCGGCGGCGTTACCCGTGCCCCCTTTCTTCTTTGCGCCCCCCGCCCGTGTTTCCATCCCGTTATCCCCGTTTTCCCCGGTTCCCCGTTTTTCCCGGTTCCCCGTGCTTCCCGCTTTCCCCGTGTTTCCCGTTTTCCCCGTTCTTCCCGCCTTCCCCGTGCCTCCCGCCTTTCCCATGCTTCCCGTTTTCCCCGTGCTTCCCGTTTTCCCCGTGCTTCCCGCTTTCGTTTCCCTATGCTTCCCGCCTTCCCCGTGTCTCCCGCTTTCCCCGTTCTTCCCGCCTTCCCCTTGCCCCCCGCCTTTCTCGTGTTTCCCGCCCCCCCCGTGCTTCCCGCTTTCCCTATGCTCCCCGCTTTCCCCGTTCTTTCCGCCTTCCCCGTGCCTCCCGCCTTTCTCGTGCCTCCCGCCTTTCTCGTGCTTCCCGTTGTTCCCGTGCTTCCCGCTTTCCCTATGCTCCCCGCTTTCCCTATGCTTCCCGCTTTCCCTATGCTTCCCGTTTTTCTCGTGTTTCCCGCTTTCCCCGTGCTTCCCGCTTTCTCTACGCTTTCCGTTTTCCCCGTGCTTCCCGCTTCCCCCGTGCCCCCCGCTTTCCCCGCGCTTTCCGCTTCCGCCGTGCTTCCCGCTTCCGCCGTGCTTCCCGCTTTCCCCGTGCTTGCCGTTTTCCCCGTGCTTCTCGCCTTCCCGGCGCTTCCCGCTTTCCCCGTGCTTCCCGCCTTCCCCGTGTTTCCCGCTTTCCCCGTGCTTCCCGACTTCCCCGCGTTCCCCACCCGCTTCTCCCGTGCTTCTCGCTTTCCCTGTGTTCCCCGCTTTCCCCGTGCTTCCCGTTTTCCCCGTGCTCCCCGCTTTCCCCGTAAGTGTTTCCCACTTTCCCCGTAATTGCTTCCCGCTTTCCCCGTGCTTCCCGCTTTCCCCGTGCTTCCCGCTTTCCCCATGCTTTCCGATCCACTTTCCCCGTGCTTCCCGCTTTCCCCGTGCTTCCCGCTTTCCCCGTGCTTCCCGCTTTCCCCGTGCTCCCCGCTCTTCCCTTGCTTCCCGCTTTCCCCGTGCTTCCCGCTCTTCCCGTGCTTCCCGCTCTTCCCTTGCTTCCCGCTTTCCCCGTGCTGCCCGCTTTCCCCGTGCTGCCCGCTTTCCCCGTGCTTCCCGCTTTCTCCGTGCTTCCCGCTTTCCCCGTGCTTCCCGCCTTCCCCGTGCTTCCCACCCGCTCTCCCCGTGCTTCCCGCCTTCTCCGTGCTTCCCGCTTTCCCCGCGCTCCCCGCTTACTTTCCCCGTGCTTCCCGCCTTCCCCGCGCCTCCCGCCTTTCCCCTGCTTCCCGATTGCGAAATATTTTGGGGATTGCGCAACGTTTTGGGGATTGCGAAACATTTGGGGGATTGCAAAATCTTTTGGGGATTGCAAAATATTTCGGGAATTGCAAAATATTTTGGGGATTGCAAAATATTTTGGGGATTGCAAAACATCTTGGGGCTTGCAAAATATTTTGGGGATTGCAAAATATTTTGGGGATTGCAAAATATTTTGGGGATTGCAAAATATTTTGGGGATTGCAAAATATCTTGGGGATTG